GCAGAGCATCTGGTGAAATATTTTGAAAATTTCTTGATCCAAAATGACCACTATATCCTAAACATACTTGACATTCTACCTCTAACACAGTTTCTGAAAAACAATTTCAAGTCTTGAGTTGCAACATTTAGAGACGCAATGGCAAATCATCAAGATAAGATGGAGGGAATATATAAAATCATGGTGCCAAAAATAGTTGGCTGACACTGAAATATTTCAGAAAATACCGTATGATCAAGAATCAATGGAAGGATGAAGTTCAAGCTGCAATGAAAACAGTGGCAAAAAATTAGGCCCCAGGGATCGATGTGATACCGTTTGACATGTTTCAAATGACAAGTGCAACCCTGTACATACTCACCAGTCTATGCTAGGAAATGTAGAGGACAGCTGACTAGAAGAGACCCATATTTGTTACCATTGCCAAGAAAAATGATCCAACAGATTGTGGAAATCACATTCAAGCAAAATACCGCTGATGATTATTCAAAACAGCTAGAACAGTACATAGAATGCTGTAGATCTTGAAGGTGGATTTAAAAGAGGCCATGGCATAGGAAAATCATTACTTAATGTCAGATAGGTCCTGACTGAAAGCAAAAAATACCAGAAGAAGTATATTTGTGCTTTATTGGCTATGAAAAGCCACTTGATTGTGTGGATCATAACAAATTATGGCTAGCATTGAGAAGTATGAGAATCCCAGAGCACTTAACTATGCTTATATGAAACTTATACCTAGACCAAAAGCCTAGTGTGCAAACAGATCAAGAGAATATGACATGGTTTAAAGTTAAGAAAAGTGCATCAGGATTGTGTCTTTTCTCCTATATACCTATTCAGTCTATATGCTGAGCAAATTATTTGAGAAGCTGGACACTATGAAGAATGGCAGCAGGATTGGAAGAATGGCAGCAGGATTGGAAGAAGACCCATCAATATCCTTCGCTATGCAGATAGCACAGTTTGCTGAAAGTGAGGAGGACTTGAAGCACTTGCTGAAGAAAATCAAACATTATAATAGGGATTGCATCTCGACATCAAGGAAACAAAAATAGTTGGAGAAAATCTTTAAACTGTCAATGATATCAGTCTTCCTTGGATCTACAATCTGTACACTTGGTACCAGCAGTCAGGACATGTGTTGCATTTGGGAAGTCTGTAGTCTGATACCTCTCCAAATTATTGAGGAGCAGTGATGTTAGTTTGAGGATTAAAGTGTGCCTGATTTAGGCGATAGTCTTTTCAGGCACTTGGTATGCTGCTGAGACCTGGACAGTGAATAAAGGAGGACAGAAGAAGTGATACCTTTGAGTTGTAGTGCTGGAAAAGAGTGTGAAATATCCCATGGACTACCAGTAGAACAAATAAGTCTTGGAGAAGGTGCAGCCAGAATGCTTGTTAGAGGCATAGATGATAAAGCTTCATCTCTCATACTTTGGGCATGTTACTAGCAGAAGCTATTCCTTGGAAAGGAACATCATACTTGGAGAGGTGGAGCGATGGCCAAAGAGGGAAAATCCTCAACTAAGTGGATTGACACAGTGACTTCAACAGTGGTTTAGGTGTGTCAGAGTTGTTAGGATGACACAGGATAGGACAGGGTTCAGATCTCTTGTTCATAGGGTCATTGTGCGTTGTACCTGACTTGATGGCACCTAACAAAACAACACATGTTTTATAGATGTCCTAGCTTTCAGATTACTATTTTAGTTCACTTTTGCTTTTATATTAAAACATTATGAGGGACCAGTCTTTGGAGAAGGACATCATTCTTGGAAGGGTAGAAGGTAAGCGTAAGAGAGGATGACCCTGGATAAGATGGATTGACACAGTGACTATGGCAGTGGGGTCAGGTATGTTGGAGATGGTAGGTTGTGGCTCAGGATAGGGCAAGGTTCAGAGCTGTCATTCATAAGGTTACACTCTTAGTCATATTTGACTTAAAGGCATAAATCACCCAAAACCAACTGTATGTAAATAGCAACATTTAGAAATTAAAGTTGTTGTTTAAAAAAATTGAAATAAAAAAAAAATTGAAATCCAGACTTTCCCATTATTATTCATAAATGTGTTTGAAATACCATGTGCTCTTTCCTGAGTTTTTCTTTTCTTACTTCCTTTTTAAAAAATTAGTGTCTTACTTTCATGTTACATTTAAAAACTTAGAATATCTCATTTTATCTATGTGCTTCATAATTTATGTGTTATTTTACCTTTGTATTTTCCTTCTCTAAGTTTTTAGTACCAATAACCTAAGGGTATCTATTCTTAAAATATTATTTCATTCTTATATTTTTTTAGGCTTCCAGTTGTGCAGCTCTGAAAATGCCAATACATTCAGACATACTGCAGATTATTTTGGACTACCTATATACTGATGAAGCTGTCGGGATAAAAGGTATTATTAATTGTTTTGTTTTTATGTAACATTGAGTCAGAACCAGCTTATAGCTGACCCTTTAGCAGTCTTTCTGAGGTGGTAATTCATGTGGAAGGAGATCATTCATCTTTGTTCTATGGAGTAGCTGGTGGATTCAAACTGCGTGCCTTTAGTTTGGCAGCGCAGCTCTTTAATACCAGCCACCAGAGTTCCCTGTTATTAAGGATTAGGACATTTTCGGTATTTCACGTGTGGTGAAGTAATGCTTAAAGCTACCCTGAATCCTAATTTCTTTAATACTTGAAATGAGGTTAATTTAGAATAATGGATAGGACTTCTAGCTTAGAATATAATTATAGAAAGAAAGTTTTCTTTATCAATGTGAAAATGGACTCTTACGAATTATATGTGAATTGTTGGGATCAGCTAGGATTAACCATGTCCCCTCAGCTGTTAGAGTTTGCTTGATAACTTTCTTAAACTATTGATGTAAAATCTGTTCTTTCTTTGGTGTATGGTCATTTAAGTCCCTGCTTTTTTAGCTTGGTCATCATATAATAATTAGACAGTACTAGATAATCTCTGAGTCTTTGCTAAACTTATGTGTGCCAGTTGGGCTATGACTTCAATAATTTAGCAAGCTATTTATAGCTCTGTCTTAGCTTTATTTTCTGTCTACACAGTAACTTTCAGCTAGTGATGAGAATCTTGGGCTTTTTCAGGTCCTGTTTGTTAGACCATGTGCTTAGGCCTGGATTTATGCCCAGCCCTATTCAATGCATGATATCCCGTGAGTGCTGAGTATTCCATGGACTGCCGAGAAAACAAATAAATTGTCTTGGAGAAACTGTAACTTGCTCCTTCGAGGCAGTGATTAAGCTATAGCTCACATACTTGGGGCATGTTAGGAAAGGCTATTCTGTGAAAAGAACATCGTACTTTAAAAGGTCGGTGAAGGAACATTAGAAAGGAGAGGAGGATCCTCATTGAGTTGGATTGATAGTGTCTGTGGTATTGGTCTCAAATGTGTATCCTGATAATATTTTGGATTAGAAAGATCACCTTCTTCTGTTGGCAGGTTTGTGGTCTTGATGTGAGCTTGAGCATTTTGGTATTTTTTTTTACTTGATTTCCTATTTAAATGATAGAAAGATTATGATCTTATTACTATTTTTTGTTGTTTCTATGCCAACATTTAGGAAATTACCATCACAATTTCTCAGACCCAGGGTGATTAAAATCTTGTTCCATTTTTCTCTAGATATAATATTATCAAATTATTCTCTTTTTCAGAATCTCAAAATGTGAATTTTATTTGTAATGTTCTTATTGTGGCTGATCAGTTTCTCATAACGCGACTGAAAGAGATTTGTGAAGTAGCATTAACTGAAAATCGTGAGTACTATTAAGTTGAAAGATTTTTGTTTTTAGGTTGACCCAAGGTTTTACTGTACTTTAGAGTAATAAGCAAAACTCATTATTGCAATCAAATTGATTCCAACTCATAGTAACCCTGCCACATAAGTTTTCTTTCTACATAAGTTTTTGCTTTTCTTTTGTTATTACTCTTTAGTTTATCTTTGGGAAATAATGATGTCTCTCCTTTGTTTTAATTGTTATTTAGAATAATTGACAGTATCTAACCAGATGTGGAAGCCTGTGGCTTTCTAACTTTATCTTTGTTCTATTTCATTGTCACTACAGGAAGGAGGACCTTCCTGTCAAATTTTTCCAATTTATTCTTGATAGGAGTTCTCAATCTTGTCTCAAGTGTCTTATTTATTCACCTTTAGGGAGTTGTTCTATGTTTTCTTGATGTTTTTAGGTCCCTGCCACTGACTTCAGCTTATAGTGATCCGATGAAAAATACATCAGAGTCTCCTACGCCCTATCCCACACCTTAACTTGATGATCTCTGCAATGCGCAAGCCCATTATTGTAGTCATTGTGCCAATGCACCTTGAAGGTCTTCATCTCTTTCCCTAAACCTTTTTATCTTCAATGATGTCGTCTAACAGCATGCCTAAAGTATGGCAGATGATGTTTTCACTATTCTTCCCTCTAAAGAGCTTATTGGTTGCATTTTCTCCAGGACAGATTTATTTGTTTTTGACTGTTCATGGATATTTAATACACTTCTCCAGTACTTCAGTTCAAAAGCATCAGTTCTTTGGTTATTGTTATTCATTGTCCAATTTTCAGATACAGAAAAAGCAAGTGAAAATTCCATAACTTGGATCAGGCACAACTTAGTTTTTAAACTAAAAACTGTCTTTTGTTCATTAGCACTTTCAGGAGCTCTTTGACAGCAAATTTTACCAAAGAAACACATCTTTTGATTTCTCCATTTATCATGATGTTCCCTATTGGTCCAGTGGTGAGAAGATTGTTAGGTTTTTTTAATGTTGAAGAATAAATCAAATTGAAGTCTTTGATCTTCTGAAGAAAGTGGTTTTTACTTTCTACAAGGAAGATTTTATCATCTGCATAATACAAGTATGTTGAGTTTTTAAAATTCTTTTGGGGTTTTTTGGTGAGAAAAATTGGAATTAGCCTACTGGAACCAGTTTATATGATTGTTGGCAACATCTAGAGGATCATAGTCAGGGCAGGGCGGGTTGTTGACCTTGGCCACTTCAGTGTGATAGAACTTCACAGCTTGTTTTCACAGCTGGTGCTTGCTGGCCTTAACATCCACAGTGAAGACAACTGTGTTGTTCCTTTCTGTCTTAACTTGATGATGGCATAGTGGTCGATTGTTTCTCCTGGGGGTGCTCTTCCAGGGCTCTTTGGGCTGGTGTCTTAGCCCCTGGAATGTGGATGACGTGCTCTATCTTTTTATATGTGACTGGATGCCTTTTAGGACTGCCTTCTTGGCCTTTAATGCCTTTGCTTTTACTTCAGTTTTGGGCAATGGCTTCCTTCTTTGCTTTCACTGCCATCTTTATAAAAAGGTATAATACAAGATTTTTAGAGTCTTCTTCCAATCCTGATGCCACATTCTTCTTCATATAGTCTAACTTCTTGAATTATTTGTTCATAACACAGATTAAATAGGTAGAAAGAAAGGATATGCCTTGACACGCATATTTTCTTGATTTTTAAACCGTGAAGTGTTCTCTAGTTCTGTTTGGACGACTGTTTCTTCATCTGTGTATGGGGTTTTTATGAGCACAGTTGTATGGGGATTCCCATTCTTCTCAGTATTATCTATAATTTGTTATGATCCACATTGTTGATTGATTGCCTTTGAGGAGGCAATAAAATACAAGTGATATGTGCATGTGTTTTTTCTAAAAATATAAAAGCTGTTATTCTTATTTTTGAAAAGTAAAAAAGAACATGTTATTTGAGCCATATTTCTCAGGTTTTAAAAAAGTAAGAATCACAGCTCTGGTTTCCTTTCTAGAAAAAAAAAGACCTAGGAAGAATAGTGAATAAATGAAACTAAAGAAAACAACATAAATAAAAGAGATAGATGAGTGAATGTGTTACGTATGGTGTCTATTTTTGGTTTGGCTGAATTTCCTGACCACTCTGGGATAGTCTCTTTTGGCCTCAGTTATACCAGCTTTTACTTATGGATCCTTTATTTCTAGAACCTAGTGAGAGAAGGATTCAAAATAAAAGGACTCTTAATTGGAGTGGAATATTGATCTTTCTCCCCAACAGAAAAACTAATTTTTTTCTTTCCTCATAAAATTTTATTGTTTCTTTGAGATATGGATCCTTGGATTCATTGTTAGCTGAATTGTTAGGTTAATCAGGAGTGTGTCTCAAGTTCATGTTGCCTACAGTTGTGACCTTAGGCAGAAAGAAAGAAGAATGGAGAAGTCCTGGCCTAGAGAAGAGCCATGCTCCTCTAGTGGGTGAAAGTCTGAGGAAGTAAGAAAATAATCAGATAGGATCCAGGTTGCATGCTAGCTTTGTAGAATACCCTGAAAAAGATTAGCAAAATAGATAGAGCTATATACTGGGATTGTCACTAAATTCAGAATCTTCTGCTCAGTTTTCCAAAATCTTATACTGGCATGCATTCTATGGTGTAATTTAGGTATGTTTATTTAAAAGATGTAAGTGTATACCTTGCAGAATTATTTCATCAATATTCTTAATTTTGGGTTTTTGTTTTTAAGAAGGGAGAATAATAGTCTCTGCTTGTAAGTAACAAAAAACTGTCCAGCAGTGAAAGTTAATGGATATTTAGAAAATGTTAAGTACAAGATCATCAGCTTAAGTTGGTTCTGTATCACCTGAAACAAACAGCTTGCTGTATTTTTTTCCCTTCCTTTCGAATCCTTGTGTGCCTGGACTTATTTTTCATTGGAAACAATCATGTAAAGGGTTTTTTTGCACGTAAGAATGGAAAAATGGAAATTGAGTCAGTCTGTCTTTGTCCTGCTACGAGTTATATTTTGGCAAGAAACTATTTTTAGGTTTCTAATCTGAAAACCTTAAAATAATAAGTATATCTCTTTTGCAGTAGGAATATATATGCCTTTTGTTTAATTTTCTAAATCTCTTCTTCATTTTAGTTACTCTTAAAAATGCTGCTATGCTGCTGGAATTTGCAGCAAAGTATAATGCTGAACAATTGAAACTGTCTTGTTTACAGTTTATAGGACTAAATATGGCAGCTTTACTTGAAGCAAGGTAGGTTAAATGCACATGCTGTATACTTTGCAAAATCAGGTGTTTATATGTAAAAGTGCATATGCTAGTAATTTAAAAGTGAATAATCATGGAGTTGTACAATTTGATGAGGGGATGAGAGAAATTGGAAGAATCTGTTCTCAAATGCAATGTATTCGAATTTTGTAAACAAACTAGTATGAAAAAAGTGAATAATAGTATATTTTGGTTGTGTGCGAAGCAAAAATGTAAATATTTAATAGTTTTTTAAAAATGTGTTTATTGTATACTGTTTCCAATGCTAGGATACAACTGTGGACAAAAGAAACAAAATTCTTGTCTTCAGTGGAGCTTATATGTTAGGTGAAATGTGGAACAGTGTTCTCAGAAGTTTGTTGTGTGTTGTTGTTTGTTTTTTTTTTAATGCATATCTATATTTCTTTGTTTAGGCTGATACATAACTGTAATTGTTACTTGGGTTTTAGGAAATATTTGTAATACTAATTAAGTTGATAACTTAAAGCATACAGAAAATTTGTTACTTAAATAAATGTTTTGTATTTATTTAAGATATTTCTTATATATTAGGGAATACTGGTCGCTTAGTGGTAAGAAATTGCACTGCCAACTCTAAGTTATGTGGTTAGAATCCACCAACTGTTTCATGGGGCGGGGGGGTGGGGGGGGGGGGAACAGGCAGTCAACTCCTGTAAGGGTACAGCATCTGAAAACCCACTGGAGGGTCAGCTGTGGGTCGGTTTTGACTCCACTGCACATAATAGTGACATACTGTATAATGATTCTTTGAGCAGACTTAGGATGCAGTGAATGACCTGGAAATTTTAATTGGCTTAGTAAGTCATAAGCTGATAAAATATCTGAAAGCCTTTATATAGATATCAATTTGAAATGAAAAAAGGGCATAGTTTAGATAAAAATAAACTGACTATGTTATGCCTCCAGAAACTCTATGAGCTGATAAATGTTGATAGTTATAGAAAGGCTTCAGGCCTTTTTTCATAGGGTCGCTATGAGTTACGTTCAACTCAAAGGCAATCAACAACGTGTATCTTATTTTATAAATGAATATTCTGTATTACATTGATGTTTCCCTGGATGAAAAAAAAATCACCCCAAAACTAATGATTTAGGTATTTTGGTGGTGCACTAGTTAAGCACTTGGCTACTAGTGGCTCAAATCTAGCAACTGTTCTATGACAGTCAGCTGCCATAAAGATTACAGCCTTTGAAAGCCTGTATGGCAGGTCTGCTCTGTCATAGTATTACCAGGAGTCAGCATTAACTTGATGTGATGGATTTTAATCATTTCATGAGTATTTTGAGTCATAAACATTTTAGGACTAAGAAAAGTAAGTAGGAAATTTAGTTGCATTGTTTTGAAATGTTTTACCATTGGACTTTTATTTATTTTGAGAGACAAGAAACCCCGAATAAGCAAAACACTTCTGAGAAACAAAAAGGAGTTGGAGACATAGTACTCCCTGAACTCAAAACCTACTGTACAGCAGTGGTAACCAAAACTGCATGGTATTGGTCAGGCACATTGGCCAATGAATGGCACAGAATGGAGAACCCAGAAATAGACCCAGCTATCTATGGTCAACTGGCGTTTGACAAGGAAACCAAAGCTATCAAATGGGGAAATGATAACCTCTTCAACAAATGGTGCTGGCAAAACTGGACTTCCACCTGCAGAAAGCTGAAACAGGATCCACACCATACACAAAAATCAACTCAGGGGGCATCAGAGACCTGAGAGTAAAAGCCCAAAACCATAACTTTCTTAAGAGACAAACTGGGATCAAGCTTAGAAGCACTAGTCCAAGGTATAAAGATACTGACAAATACAACCAGAAATGCACAATCAAAAGAGGATAAAATTGATGCATGGGACCTTCTGAAGATTAAATCTCTATGCACATCAAAAACTTTTTCCAACAGGGTGAAAAGAAATCCTACAAACTGGTAACAAACATTTGATAATTCCATCTCAGACAAGAGTCATAACAAACGTTTACAGAATACTCCTGGGCCTCCACAAGAAAAAAACTGATAACCCAACTACAAAATGGACAAAAGACATCGAAAGAATTTTCACAGAGGAAGATATTAGAATGGCAAACAGACACATGAAGAAATGCTCCAAATCACTGGCAGTATGAGAGATGCAAATCAAAACCACAATTAGGTATCATCTCACTCCAGTAAGAGTGGCAAAGTTTAACAGGTTAGCAAGTTGGAGAGGATGTGATGAGAAAGGAACTCTTATACATTGTTTGTGGGATTGTAAAACGGTGCAACCATTCTGGAGGCAGTTTGGTGCTTTCTTAAAAAGCTGAACATAGAATTTCAGTATGACCCAGCTATTCCACTACTTGGAATATACCTTGAGATTATGAGAACTGAGGAACAAACTGAGATTTGTAGACCAGTGTTCATAGCAGCATTATTCACCTTCGCAAGAACATGGAAACAGCCCAAATATCCAACCACAAGTGAATGGATTGAGAAATTATGGTACATTCCCATGATAGAATACAATGCAGCATGCAGGAACAAAAACTTTGTAAATTATTACGTAACTTGGGAGGGACTGGAGAGAATTAAGCTGAGCGAACTAACTTAGTCCCATAAGGAAAAAGAATTGTATAAAACCATTATTGTAGAATGAGTATAAGGATCCAGGAAGGTGGAAGAGGCTGGAAGCAGAGGGATGTGGATGTGCAGGGGAAAAGGAGGATTAATCTTTGGGTTGTACAACTTGATTGGTGGGGGGGTGAGGGAAATTGAAAGAATTTGTTCAAATTTTATTTGAATTTTGTAAATAAACTAGTAGGAAAATAAAATCTAATAAAAAAAGAATATATCTTAAAAGTATATAAAAACATTTTAAAGCATTTATTTTTAAATATACAGCAAAATTTTATTATATTTCTGTAAAACTAATGGTGAAAAAATGAGGCTATGGACACAGAAATTTTTAGCATTCTTATTGTCAATTGAGTTAATACTTCTACATCCAGCCATTTGTTTTTATCTTAATTGCAATAAAAATAACTTAATGAGTGCATATTATGTGCCATGGGGCGTTCTAAAAATATCACAAAGAAGTCGTTAATTCTTCTGTAAACTTTGATTTATACATTTCCATTGATGAAAATATTCTTTGGAATTTGTTGTTAGGTACCCTTGGCTATGATTCAATAGAGACCCTAAGAACAAATCAGAACCTTGCCTTTTCCTATATTAGCCTCATGGTCTCTGACATGCATGTACACATTGTTAATAGTCACTGTATCAGTTCTTCTCATTGAGGGTCTTGGAATCTACAGGCCCTTGAGATCTATCTTGAATGCAACTTCTCAATCCAGTCCAAACCTCATTTTACAAGTGGAAATATTAAGACCAGGGCCAGAGAGGTAAATTAAATTGACTTGCCTACAATTATGTAGATAATTAATAACAATGTTAATTCTACATAGAATTGAAGTATCCTTGTATTAAGACGTTCTATAGGTAAAACATTTGCTTTACTGCTTATGATTTTATTTTGTGGAAAATGCATAATTGCTATTTGGTTTTGCTTTCTGACTACATCTACTTCCAATAAATTTATAGCATTTGGTATACACAAAACTTAAAAACTAATGTTATTACTTATTAGATCATATACTTTCTACATACAAAATTCTAAGTGATATTAAGTGATTAAGACTCTAAGTAATCCTTACATAAAAATTTCTCTTCTGTTTCTTAGGTCTTTTGATGTTTTAAGTCATGATGTTTTGAAGGAACTTTCTGTATTTTACCGGAAAATGGTAAGGTTTTAATTTTTTTAGTGAAGCCTGCCTATAGTATTATTAAGTAAAGCAATGTATTGGGTCACACGTCCCAGTGGGCTAATTTCTTAATTAATATTTCATATGAATTTTTTTTAAATGACGCTGTAATGTGTAGATTCCACAGATAAGTATAGTCATTAAAATTAAAGATATTTAATAATAGCCTGAATATTTATTGTAATTCCTTGTAAAGTAAATGCATTAAAAGCTTCAGAGACTTTCATCGTTTACTAAAGAGGACCACAGTGAAAAGAAGTGAATTCAAATGATTTCCAAGAAATGTTTTAACCTATTTCACAATAGAGTGGAGCTTATTTATAAGTATTTTCCCCCTTATGGGTATCTAATCAGAATATTCTGTTGAGGAAATAATTTTTTCTAGTTAATATTACCATATATTTAAACAAACTTTTTAGCAATTAAAAAAAATTTTTTTTTGTTCAAAAAGGAGCATCTTTTCTTCTACAGATTCCAGCAATGGATAGAAGGGTTATTACACCATACCAGGATGGACCAGATATTAGCTGTTTAGAAGTAGAAGATGGAGAAATCTTTTTGAAAGAAGAAAACACTATGGAACAGACTTCTTCGTAAGCCCTATTTTTTCCTTCTAAAATGTTTTAATATAGTTTAGATAAAAGTTTATGTTGTTGTTATGTGCTTTTGAATCACCTGCATTTCATAGCGACCTAACAGCTCTGAAGTCTGCCAATCTCACGGACTCCAACACACCTACCCTCATTGCCCTAGTCACTGTATCAATCCATCTTATCCAGGGTCGTCTTCTCCTATGCTGTCCCTCCACCCTTCCGAGCATGCTATCCTTCTCCAAGGATCAGTTCTCCTGGCCATGTGCCCAAAGTATATGAGAGGGAGCTTCAAGATCCTAGCATCCAAGGAGAAATTGGTTTCACCCTCTCCAAGAAAGGCCTGTTTGTTTTCTTGGCAGTCCATGGTATGTTCAACACTCTTTTCTAGCACCACAACTCAAAGACATCTATTCTTCTGTCATCGTTAGTCATTGTCCAGCTTTCTGATGCATATAGCAAGTAATTGTGAAGACCATGGACTGGACTGGATCAGGCACACCTTAGTCTCTAGATTGACTGCTTCTCAGTATTCTAGAAAGGTCCCTTATAGCAGAGTTAATAGAACAAATTTCCCATCCATCAGTTGATAAATAAACTTGTTATACCTACTTTGACACTGGTTACACACCTACAGTGTGTCCGTACTTGCCCCAGAGTTCCTGTTTATGTTCAGCTAGCTTTTCTGTCTTTATTTTTTATTTCTTCTGTTTGTGTGTGTACTGATGACTCAGATCCGACTGGCATGGGAGGAAATTGCCCCTCCTTCTCTAGCAGAGCTTCTGATGGATTCACACTGTGTGCCTTCGGGATTGTCGCACAGTTTCTTACCACTGGGCCACCAGAGTTCAACCTTCCTGACTTCTTATCTTTGCTTGTGCATTTTTGCTGACTTTTTCTTGTGCATTTGGTTGTTCTGAGAGCCAGGTTCCTTCTGTGTGATATTGTTTTCTTTATATGCCTGTCTTTTATGTGACTAGAAGTTGATCTACAAAGGTAGCTTTAATTGTAAATGAGATTGTGACTAAGGGGTATAGTTTTGGAGTTCTACCTGTCAGACCAATTAAGTTTACTCTTTTTTAATTTATTTCTTTTTATTTTATAAAGAAGTTTTTTCTACCAATCTGTCTAGTACTTTCTGTTATCCTGATTAGAGTGGCCAATGAATGATTGGTTACTGGGCACACCTGGTTCTTCTGGTTTTAGGTATCTGGAAGCTAAGAGGTTTTGTGACTGTGCACCGTGTATACATATTACATCTATACAAGAGTACATTTATAGCACATCCCAATATATATGAAAGAATATTTGCTGCCAATCCTGTATATGTACATAGGTGTACTTCCATAAACCCTTCTATCCCTGTTCAGTTTCTAAAACTACTTATCTGTTCATACACTATTATAATTACTGTTGTTGTGGGATATATACATATATATGTAATAGTATTTACTATTGTTGCCTATTATTCTTATATACCTTTCCTTGACCTTGATTATATCATGATTTCCCCCATATTGTTATTTGCCATTGAGTCACTCACAACTCATAGCCACCCTGTGTACAGTAACTCTGAACTCTGTCCTATTCTGAGCTAGTTTCACTCATTCTGACACACCTAACCCCAGTAGCCCAGTTACCATGTTGATCCATCTCATCTGGGATTTTCCTTTCCTGCACTATCCCTTCACCCTACCAAACATGATGCCTTTGTCCAGTTACTGGTCCCATCTGCCTACGTATGTGAGATGGAACGTTAAAATCCTTGCCTCCAAGAAGAAACATAGTTTTACCCTCTCCAAGACAGACCTATTTGTTCTCCTGGCAGTATGGTATGTTCGGTAGTCTTCTGCAGCACCACAACGGAAAGGCAGCGATTTTTCTTCTGATATCCTTAGTCATTCCACCAATCCTGATGCCACAATTCTCCTCATAGAGCCCAGCCTCTCGGATAATCTGCTTTGCATACATGTTGAAAAGGTATGGAGACAGGATGCATCCCTGGCATACACCCTTCCCAATTTTGAACCATGCAGTGTTACCCTGCTCTGTTCTGACT